CTTGCTCAAAAGTCTGCTGCTGCTGCCGGGCGCCAAGCCGCGGAGCTGGCAGGGCGGAGAGATCTCGGCAGCAGCCGGAACACCTGCCGAACTCCTTAAGGGCTTTAAACGTGTGAAAGGCAGAGCTTTATTGCGATCGACAGATCGGGGTGATTCTTAGCACGCGAGGTTCCGGACGGGCGAGGAATCTTTGCTGGGAAGCAGCGTCGCCCTCCTGCCTTCTCCCCCAGCCGGTGTCGTGGAGCTTTTCTCTGGGGTGATTCACTGGCCTGTCTGCTTTGGGCGCTAATGAACAGCCCACGCCGCCACCTCTCTCTCTCTCTCTCTCCCTCTCTCTCCCTCCCTCTCTCTCCTTCCCATTGTGAAATGTGACCTCCTTCTTGGAAGCTGGGTCGCCTCCGCAACGTGGGAGCTGAATGCGAGCCCCGCTGGCACCCCCCAGGGTTTCGGGAGGGCCACCTCTTCTCGCCTGGCAAAGGGGCACACGCAGCCGTGCCTCGATCGATCGATCGATAAGATCGGCGCCCTGTCGAGCCGGTGTCCTGTGGGATGGGGTCCTGGTGTTGCTCCGAATGTGATGGGACCAGCTCGGAGTGTGCCTTTAGGGACAGAAGTGGGTTGCCCTCTTCCGTCTTTCTCCTCCTCCTGGTTCCAGCATTAGATCACTGAAGCAGAAAGAACTTCGCAGGAATTCGTTTGGATCCCGTGGGCTTTCTAGCAGGCACCTACCTGAATGGGAGGCATTAATTTGTGACTCCTCTGCTTTGCTTGTTTTGCTCAGCTGCCCCGCCCTCAGAGCCCCAAATTCACTTTTGAAATTAATTTGATTTTTTTGTGAGCCGCTTTGGATCTCATCATCGTAAGAAAGGCAGCACAGAAATAAAATAAATAAATAAACAACATTTGGGAGGGATTTTTGCCCTGTAATTACTCCATTTTTTGTTGCTTGCTGCTTAATCTTAGACATGTCTACTCAGAGGTAAATCCTGTTGCATGAAAAGTGCTTACTCCTAGGCATGTGAGGGCCAGGTTGCAGCCTTAATCTCATATGCTGCTTCTCTTTTCTCAATATTGCAAAGGAAAAAAAATCTCTTACACTTTTAAAAGAGTGTAAAGATGATTGAATTATGCAAATGCAGTAGCATAGTACATCTTGTTGCACTTGTTCTAAGCTGTCAAGTAGGATGGGATAACAAGACAACCAAATAAACAAAATCAAGTAATGCGTGCTAACTCATCTGTTGAAGTCTGGCATTTGAAATCTGATAGACAGTAAAGAAAGCTTATAGGGAAAGAACTGATTCATTTGAAATTTGACACTAAAGGAGAGCTTTGCAGATACCTTGGGCTTCCAGAAAAATGAACAAATAGGTCCTAGATCATATCAAGCCTGAACTATCTGGAGCCAAACTGAGCCCATCCTACTTTGGCCCCATCACGAGAAGGCAAGATTCTCTCGAAAAGGCAACAGTGCGGGGAAAGCCTGAAGGCAGCAGGAAGAGAGGAAGACCAAATCTGAGATGGACTGACTCCCTAAAGGAAGCCACAGGTGTGAATCTGCAAGAACTGAGCAGGGCTGTTGAAGACAGGATATTCCGGATAGCACTCATTCATTGGGTTGCCATAAGTCAGAAGCAACTTGACAGCACATACAGTAACAACAAGCAAGTTTTTGGTAGTGTTTATGAAGTAAGTGCCATCTTCAAGTCTGGTTAGTATAGGAAGATATAAAAAGGAGAAAAAGAGAGCATCTGTGTCCCTGGCAAGTTGCTTCTTGTCATTTCCTAGAAGTTGGATTCTTTCTCTTTTCCTCCTGAATTACAGTCTGTTTATGCTTTAATTGGAAGATTAGCTACTGAGAACAACAAAGATGCAGTTGATTGGAGCTCCAGTCCTTTCTACAGCACTTTGTCTTCTGTTTTGTGTCCAACCAGTGGAGAGAATCCATGATCAGCTTAAAATATTATAGCAAGCCAGGTTGTGATTTGTTAAATCCTGGCTTATATCCAGAGTTGTTCATATAAACAAACCATGGTTTGTTAGCTCAATGCAAACTGCAGTTAGAAGCCATAGGTTATGGGTTATGAAATTTCTGGTTTATGAAGTCTATGGGTTGATGCTATAGTTGAATATAGAATGGCAAATTGTCCCTGGCTTATTTCACTAGCTGCATATCCTGAAACAGGGTTAACAAAATGAGTAGGATGGGGGACAGAACAGAAGACAGGAAAATAAAATGTGGATTGTTTACCCCTTGATCAGCTCATGGCTGAAGCAACAAACTGTGTCTAAAATGGCTTAGTACAGGGATTGAGAAGATGTTGCCATGCAATGGTGCTATGGAGTGGGTCTCATCATCCTTTCTCATTGTCTGTGTGGGGCTGATGGGATTTGTAGTCCAACAGTTCCTCAGGAGCCATAAATTCTGAACTTTGTCTCAGTGTTTCATATGAGTGCTGTCAGTATGGTCCATTGTCTTCAGTAGCTTTGGATTTCCTATGTTGCTTTTGCCATGGTCCCTCTGTGTGACCTTGAGCAAGTTTATTCCTTGTCACCATTGCTTGACCTCTGAGTATAAAATTGGAATTATACTCCTAGAATTTCTGATTTATTTACAGCAAAAAGCAAACAAAAACAAAAACAAACGCACACACAAAACTACTAAAAGTGAAATACTATATAGTACATGGTTATTAGGGGAAAGCTCCACTGATCACAGTGGGAATTATTTTGGGGTGAGCATGCACAACAGTGCTCCATATTTATTAATTTAAAAGGTTTATGACTTGTCATTGGACTCTCAAGACAATCTCCAATTTTAAAAAACAGCACAGTATATCACAGAACCAAAATAAAGAACAAGATGATCGTCAAAGAGATCTAGACAGTAGGATTGACCTTCGACAAATGTTGAGTGGCAGAGGCTGATAGCTGGCAAATATGAAGGCAAAGTGACCTCTTTAGGAAGGAGTAGGCACTGTCTGGGTGCTGTTACAGAAAAGGCCCTGTCTCGTGCAATTACCAGCATAGATTCTCTGAACTGGTGGTCTCTGTATGACATACAGCAGGACCTTTGAAGGTTATAAATTATTGACAGTCTCAAGAGGCGATCTAGATATTCTGCTTCCAGATCTTTTAGGGTTGGAACCAAACCTAACTTGCAGTAGATGAACATTGCTGGAAGAGAGACAAAGCCAGTAATAGCTTCTCTCAAAGCTCCCAAGTTGACAAATTTATTGCTTCATGAAACTTTGGGATGGTAATAAATAATAATGACCAACTCCAGCTTATGTTGACCCTTTCCAGGGTTTTCTAGGTAGAGAGTACTCAGAAATGGTTTGCCAGTCCTTTCTTCTGAGGTTGCTGTGCAGCTTGCCCAAGGCCACATAGGCTGTCTTTTCTACAAGGCACAGAGGTGAATCAAACTCCTAACCCTTGGCTAAATGTTCCAGGGGTTGGGAATTTGATTCTGAGCTGTCTTGCTAGCTGTCCAGCTCATCAGTAATAGTGATTAGAAACGTTATATTTCCAGACCTAACCATGTTTGGGTTTTCTAATGACTACATAGCTGCTTCTAGATATGTGGCACATCTTGTATGCAGATGTGTGTGGGCTTTTTTGGTGGATGGTGACTTCCTTCTCATCCTCTGTGGTTATTCCTCTGTGCATGCCTTACCATGTGTTCTGCAGGAAGTTGCACTCTGTAAGCAGGGGAACCCCAGGGTCTACTGAAGCCTTCAAGCAGCCCGTACTAAACCAGTGCAGTCCTGATCAGAAATGTGAATGAATGACCACTGGGAGCAGGAAAAGAAAGATGTGGCATAGGCAGGAGAGGGGATGTGTTGCATTCAAATGATAAGGGAAAGAAAGCTTATAAATGCCCAAGTTCTTTATTTCATCTCCTGCCTTTTTATCTATACCAGCCCAAAATAAAATGGCAGGCACGAAGTATGAAGGATATTAAACAAAACTTAAAAGTAGAAGCGCTCCAATGAGATTGCGTGATAAAATCCGCAATTAGATTGCAGTTAGGTCAACTGCAGTTCACATGTGTCTGCCAGAACTGGGCCGGAGTATTACACACTGTGTCTGTGTGTCTGAGGCCCAGCTGAAATTAACTGTATGAATGCTGATGGGAAGGAGGGTGGATTTGCCGGTCAGACTGCACACTGGAAAATGTGTTGCTCTGGAGGGAAGCCTTCACGAGGGCTCATCTTTCTGCAGTGGACTCCAGGCTAGGCTCTACAGGTTCTGGAAGCGAGCAGGCCTCAATCGCTGGGCCTCCCCATTCCTGTCCATTTTAGTTCACTGATGAACTAAAAGAGAACTCAAAGAGAACTTGGTCACCAGCTACTGCCCCTGAGGGAGGGAAATCATTTGCCTGGAAATACTTGAAACTACTGTGTGTGTGTGTGTGTGACTATGGGAGGCGGGTGTAAGTACAAACCCCATTTTAGGTAGCATTGCAGGGCAGAGACAAATTCACAAGAGCAGGAAGTGGTATCTGAATGAGGCAGGATAACTTTGTAGTGTTGTCTTTATGGGGGTGGAGTGGGGCAGGGCTTGGTTTCAGATAGTCAAAATACCTTCCTGAA